TCGATCATATTATATATGTTGCTTCAAAAAATAATTAACTAAAATTCATGTATATGCTATATTTTTTAGGGGTGTGTATGGGTCGATTTCGTTCGGTTATAGGCCTAAACCAAACCATAATCATTTCAACCGGTTAATGAATTTTGGTAACCAATGTGAATCGGTTAACATTTTAGTCGGTTAATGGCAAAGTTCTAAATAACGTAAGGCATGACTAGGCGGAAGTATCAAGTCTCAAGCTTTTCCAAGTCTTGGCGAACCATGTCGTTTGTAAGGCGTGACTTAAGGTGACAATTTTGTATATAATTCATATTTTTATATGTATTTTCAACTATTATCTATTTCTATACACATATATGAGTCAATGCAGCGTTTTGGTAAAGTTTGGCGGCACGTACAAGCCTTAGAGTCATGGCGCGCCATGGTGGAGCCCTGACGAAGTTTTTAGAACCTTTGTTAATGATGTCCGGTCATCGATTAATATCGGTTAATGATAATTGTTCAAAATAATATGAAAATAAAAATATATTACAACAAAATGTGAGAAACAAAAAAAATCATTGCGATAAAAACTACATTACTATAAAATGTGAGCAACAAAAAATCATTGCTATAAAACGTGAAAAATTAGAAATTAGGTTGCTAAAATTACAAGTGGTAAACTAATGGTGATTAACTAGTACCAAATTTGTATAACTAAATCTAATTCAAAATTAAGTACTTTATAACTATGACATGATTATTCTTCAAATTCTCAATTTCTAATATAATTACATATTATATACCATATATATATATATATATATATATATATATATATATATATATATATATATATATATATAATAGTTTAGTTAATATTGTTGGAATAATTCGGTTATTTTATAGTGATTTGGTTTTTGATGAAAACCATAAGGGAATCATATGTATTCGGTTAATCAGTATTAGAAATCACACCATCTTTTTGTTGGATTAGTGTCTAAGCCTGTAACAATAATTGGTAAGTACTTGACCCGATTGTGCATGGTCCTTTTGGGTTGCCTTCACCAAAACAACTTGACTGGAGAAATAATAGAGATAGAGGTTATTATGATTTATTAATATTTTAGAAGAATAATATATTAAAGGAGAAATCATATTTGTTTAATTAATATTAGTCAATAATCAATTAAGAATTAATTTTGTGATCAAATGTAATTAATTAAACTAGAGGGGCTGAATTGTAATTATGTGATAGTTACAAAATAGGGTAAGGATTATCCTAAGGATAGGTTGGACGAATTTAAGGTGATAAGGTCTTAGAATTCTTCCATGATAAGGATTCAAGGCTTATCTTATGGTTTGCTTGGTGGGCAAGCAACTAGATAAGAATAAACTGAAACCCTATATCTACACCTATATAAACACCCCTTTGGCTCATGAATTCGTACATACCTTCCCAAGGATTCTTAGGGACGAATTTTATACCTCTCCTTCTTTCTCTATAACCTCTCCAATTGCTCTTGGTGTTTGTGAGCCATTAGAGGCACTACACTTGTGGTGCTTGCTTTCAAGACTTAGGGTTTGAAGATTCAAGTTGTTATTACAATATAACAACAAGAGGTATGTAATCTAACCTTCTTGGTTAATTTCGAAAATAACAATCATCTTTAGGGTTTTATTATGTGTTCATAATGTTGTGTATCTAATAGTGAAAACATAAATCCAATGCTAGGGTTGCATGTACACATAAGATTGTTTGTATAAAACCCATCACTTTTAGTAGTGGTTTAATTATAATGGTTTAATTATATTGGTTGATTCGGTTTTGGTGTGATTTTCGGTTAATATGAAATTATTATTTAATAGATAACAATAAGGATTTATTTATATATATATTTTTTCTATTTTAATCATATAACTTTTATACGCAAAATAACTTTAAGTTCCAACCTTATCTCTTATAATATAGTTCAATATAATAATAATACTAAAAATCATTTTTTTATATTTTTATGAAATTATTATTTATTTGTTAATAACAATGATTTAGTTATTTTTAATATAAAATATTTTTTTTATATCTCACGCAACGCGAGGGCATTCGCCTAGTATATATATATATATATATATATATATATATATATATATAATTCGTCGTAAATTTGAGTGTTAATGGATTAATTATTTTCAATAACTTTATTCATTTTATTAACATGAACCGGGATTGAACGAACGCCCAAACTCCGCCTGCAAACAAAAGAAGTAAAGAACCCTAAATGATCCAAAATCACACACACACAAAGTTCTAAATTTATGTATGTGCTTCACGATAGACTGATGATTTTCTTTCTACATCATTTTGGTTAGTAACTGTCGTGGAGAATCAAATGACATGTTGGTTTAGATGATACCAAATCATAGATGGATTGCATCAAAATCTGTGACAAGTAGCGATCTATAGCACACCATATCCGTTGTTGATCTCAGAGGAGTCGTTGTCATTGATACTTTTTTGGATTCAATTGGTGTAATGGTAAACCAAGGAGGTGGTGGACATTGTAATTAGATGAAAAAGACGATGATCTAATGATTGTACGCACATTTAGCCACAAGCCGATGAACAGTAATCAGGTAAGCCAATTACTGTTCATAAGCCCGTGCATTTTTAATAGTGTACTTATATACAATATTTATTTTATTTTTTCACATAATAACAATAATAATAATAATAATAATAATAATAATTATAATAATTATAATAATAATAATAAAATTGTTGCAGATAATTGGTGGATGACACAATAATTGGTGCATGGTGAAACATTTCTTACGAGTCACCATTAAATGTGGACAATAACATTTTTGTAGTTATATATATATATATATATATATATATATATATATATATATATATATATATATACCCTTCTATTGTAAAGAATTGGATGCACGATGATAATAATACTAATGAATTAATAAAACTTATACATTATGGACTACTAACGATTTTTATTTCTTATGCTAACATTTCTTTATGTATTCTAATTTTTATGCATACTAACATTTACATTATACAACTACCTTTTATTTATGCATACTAACATTTATATTATGCAACTAACTTTTATTTATGCATACTAACATTTACATTATGCAACTAACTTTTAAATTATGCAACTAATCTTTATTTATATATAGTAATGTTTATTTATACATGTCAATGTTTATTTATATTTAGATATTATTCATAATTTATTTAATTATTTACTAATATTTATTTATGTTTCTAATTAGTAAAATTGTACCAAGTAAAGTTATGTATTAGTTATAAATCTTATTAAATGATTTATAATTGTACAAAACGAATATATAAATGCAATGGTTATAAACAGTAAAAACAACGATTATATTTTTTTTACTATAAAATATAAATGAATACTTTTACCCTGTTTAGTTTACCCACAATAAATATTTATCTCTTCTATCAAACAAATCAATTTAAAGAAATATAATGTAACAAATATCTAAATAAGGGGGAGTCAACTATACACTACACTTTTTTTTTTCTTTCGCTAAAGTTTTTTCCCATTGGGTATTATTTAGCAAGGTTTTTAATGAGGCAATACTTCAAAATTAATCTCTAATATGAAATGATGTCATTCAAGGGAGAGTGTTGCAAATAATTGGTGCATAATAAAACATTTCTTACTAGTCACAATTAAATGTAGATAGTAACATTTTTGTGGTATATATATATACACATTTCTATTGTAAAGAATTGGATGCACCATGATAGACAATTTCACAAGATATAAAATATCTCATATATTTTCTAAACCTTCTTCTTCATCAAATTTCTTTATCTATATTGTTAGTTTAGTTTGTTTTAAATTATCTTAATCACATTGAATTTATAACAAAAATAGATATATTACTCATAAATCAAATCATTTTTTTTATAGTTATATCAATTTAAAAAGCAATATCACTATAATATTTAAATATACTATATAATATTTATGTAATATAAAAAAGCTAATAGAAGGCTATATAACAACACATCTTTAGCCTATCCATCCATATCAATGTGTTTAAGATGCGTTCTTTTCCAAGGGGTTGACGGTTCAAATTATGTCGTCAACAAAATAAATAATTTATAAGTAGGATTTAAATGTTGTGTTACCCATTTTTAAAAAATAAAAAAAATAAAAAAAGAGGTCTATATGTAAATACTAGTTTATACCCGTGGGAATCACGGTTATACAATTAATTAAACTTTTAAAATAAAAACTAAAAATTATTAATCAATTAGTTAAATAAATTATTAATTAAGTGATTTCTTTTAGTTCTATAAATTTTAATCATTGATTTAAATAAATATGTGAAATTATATCACTTTATAATTTATATTTAGTTTATTTTAATTTTCATTCTAATATTATTAATTTAATATAATTAAAGTGAGAAATTTAAAATTTGAAATGAAAAATCAATAAGTTTAAAAAATATCATGTATTAATTATGAGATATAATATGATGATACATGATAAAAGGAAAAATAAAATATGCATTAATTAGAAGACTTAATAAGATGACACATGTTAAGAGGAGAATAAAATTATTCTTTTATTAGATAGGAAGAAGAGATATAAGGGATGTGTCTAATATAAATTATTTTAAATGTAAATGCAACAAAGGAACACCAACAAGAAAAATGGAAGACCTACATTTCTTTGTTGATGGCTAAAGAACAAAATGCTATTGATTTTACTTGATGGTTAAAATAGATATCATATTGAGTTTGTCTTAATTTATTTTAAAAAACCGGATTGATTCCCTTAAATTCAAATATTATTATCTTCCAATCCACTCAAGTAAATTTAAATATTATAGTTTCTTCAATTTTGATTTTTGATAAAGAAATATATATAACGTATAAAATTGAACTTCCAAAATTAAATCGATATAAAATTGAATCCTTAAATAAATAAAAAAAACGTTAACTAAAAACCGATTATATGGAATCGAAAAAGGTCGGGTTGGCTTGGGTTGAGTTGGAGAGAGGGTATAAAAGAAAAGGTTTGGTGGCTCAAAAAGTTAAAAACAACATCAAAGAGGACACCTTCAAAGGACGGTAATACCATTTTTTTTTTCTTCTTCTCTCTTCCACAACTGCCTCTTCCAGATCGAATCGTCCCCCCTGCAATCTAGGGTTCCGCAAATCTCCCTAAGCTCTTCCGATTACATTTGCTGAACCTCTCTTCTTCACGATCTGCCCACGTCTCTTCAAGTCCTGACACTATTATTAACATTTCAAAGTACATAAACCCTTTTCCCCTTTTCAATATTTGCAAAGATTTGATTCAATCTTACCCCTGTTTTAGCAATCATTGGTGTCCGATTTGATTTTCTCTTCTATCGTTTTTAGGTTTTGTACCGATCATGACGATTGCTGATTCGGGTGCCCTAATGGATAACGAATCACTATGCTTGCCGTGCACTCCAGAGGAAGAGCGAAGGATTGTTAAGGAGTTAACAGATAAGGCCGAGTCATGTTTGAAAGAGGGCAACTTATATTATGTCGTCTCCAACAGGTAATCTAATGTATATCTAAGTTAACTTGTAATCTGTAGTTTTTGCTTAAGATTCGGGGATGGCAATTCTTGTTGAATGAGCGCTGATTTGAAGCCGATTCTATGATTTTTGGATCTTCCTTTTGGTGTCTAGTCTGCTTGTCATCTGTTTCATCCGTTGTTTACAGATCAATTTTTTCCATGAATAATCCTCTTATGAGGATCTTAAAACACGTCCTGGCATCATTATTTTATTTTGCATGGATGTTTGGTGCATCACTGCAAGTTCCTCATAAACATGATGAACATGCTAGTTTTGGGCAAAAATCAAAAGATACTGCTAAAACTTTTTGGCTGCTAGACTGAAAATAGAGCACACACCAGTTGACCGATATCAAAATCATGTCATATCATATTAAACCTTATGTCTAAAACTCTTAAAAGGAACATGCAGAGTCTTAGCAAACAATTGACAACCTATAAATTTTGTAAGCACCACATTCAGTCAATCTTGTTCATTGTTATCAGTTAGAATGCAAAGATATCCAATAAGATTATGAGTTACATGTTAATGAATATGGATTTCTAAATTACTATCAGAACACCAATTTGATTGTTTACAAGTGGTTTACAAAATGGGCAATGTTCTTATCATGGTTTTTCCTGTTTGTCATGTATTCAATTTGTATGTTTACAGGTGGTTTACAAAATGGCAAAAATATGTTGGTGAGGAAACTGGTGCATATCAGTTGGAAGAGCTTTCTAATGATAAACAGGCTTCAGCATCTTCAAAAGTAGGCGAGAGACCAGGACCAATTGATAACACAGATATAATTGCAAATGAAGGTGGTCATGATGGCAATGATCTACAGCTTCCTAGAACAGTTGTTGAAGGAGAAGATTATGTTTTAGTTCCTCAAGGGGTTTGGGATAAGCTTCATGGATGGTATGCCAGATTTTGTTCTCAAAAACTTATATTCAATCTTATCCTTGTACATGTTTTCATATTTCAAGATATAACTTCCAAACATCACATTTAGAAGACACGAAAACGAAAGTTAATCTTGTTAAATGCTAAACTTATCCCTTAGGTACAAAGGAGGACCAGCTTTACCAAGAAAGATGATATCAGTAGGAACACGGGAGACTTATGCAGTTGAGGTGTTCCCTCTGGCATTAACATTGATTGATTCAAGAGACAAGAGTGAAATAATCATACACATAACCAAAAAGGTAATCCATCTGTTAACTTTCATCAAGATTTCTTTATTGTAACTGACCCTTGTAATACCATACAGGCCTCATTACGAGAACTTCATAAACAAGTATCAGCACTTAAAGGGGTAGAGTCAGAAAAGGTTAATCTTCATCTTCACAATCTGATACGATTTTAGGTTTTCTGGAATGAAAATTTCTCTACCCTTTTCCACTCATCATTTTCTTGTGTCATTTCAATTCATGCAGATACACATGTGGGACTATTTTAATAATGTCAAGCAAGCAGCTTTGGTGTGTTCGAATCAAACCCTGGAGGAGGCTAACCTGCAGATGGATCAATCTGTGAGTATTATTTGACAAAAGTCCCAACTACCCTTTCTCCTAAATGGATTAGAATCAGGCCTCTATTATTAATCCATTGGTTTGTTTTTGCAGATACTTTTAGATGTGCAAGTTGATGGATTTATACCATCAGGCTGTGGCATGGATTCAACAGGAAACGAGTTAGCTTTGGTTCCCATGGAGCCACAAAGGTCAACCCGCACAATAGCAGGTGGCCCAAGTTTGTCAAATGGTTATGCAACAGATTATGGTTCTAGTTTGTATCAAGGAGTCACTTTAAGCTCAATCGATATGGAAGATGTGCATGATTCTGTTAAAACTGGCCCAAAAAGAGATAGAGGTTTAGCAGGATTACAGAATTTGGGAAACACTTGTTTCATGAACAGTGCTCTTCAATGTTTAGTCCATACCCCGCCTCTTGTAGATTACTTTTTGCAAGATTACACCGAGGAAATCAACAAGCAAAACCCTCTAGGAATGCATGTATGTAAATTGTAAATAGTAACTACCAACTTTTTAAATACAAGAATTAAAGTTTCTGATTATTTTGTCATCCAGGGTGAACTTGCAGTTGCATTTGGTGAATTGTTGAGGAAACTTTGGTCATCTGGTCATACTGCAGTTCCTCCTCGTGCTTTCAAAGGAAAACTTGCACGTTTTGCTCCTCAGTTTAGTGGATATAATCAACATGATTCACAAGTAATTCCTTCTTTTTTTTTTATTGATCTCAGTGTTTATATACTCTGTGATGATATTAATAAGAGTATATTTTTTTTCTCTGTAGGAACTTCTTGCATTCTTGTTGGATGGATTACATGAAGATCTGAATCGTGTGAAACAGAAGCCTTATTTTGAGACAAAAGACTCTGATGGACGTGCTGATGAGGAAGTTGCAAACGAGTTTTGGAGTTATCATAAAGCAAGAAATGATTCGATTGTAGTGGATGTCTGCCAGGTAATTAATGTCTGATTCAAGTTCTTAATGCATTTCTTGATGTTCTTTACTAACAAAATAAAGTCTGAATGAAAAAATCTACAGGGACAATACAAATCGACACTGGTTTGTCCAGTTTGTGACAAAATCTCAATCACATTTGACCCTTTCATGTACTTATCTTTACCTCTACCTTCAACTGCCACCCGTTCAATGACTGTAACTGTATTTTATGGAGATGGAAGCAGCCTACCAATGCCTTTCACTGTAACTGTCTCTAAACATGGCTGCTGCAAAGATCTGTTCCAGGCTCTGTATACTGCATGCTGTTTAGAGAGTGATGAAACCCTAATTCTTGCAGAGGTAATCGTACTTCTCTATTATTATGATGATATATATATATATATATATATATATATATATATATATATATATATATATATATATATATATATAAAAGTTGATAGTTTTTATCCAAGACCTTTATTTTATGTGTCTTGATTTTTAGGTTTATGATCATGGTATATACAAGTTATTGGAGAATGGTGATTCATTGCATACAATTAAAGATGAAGAGTTCATTGTCGCCTACAGACTCCCTAAAAAACAATCTGAATTTCCCAAGTTAGAGATTTGCCATAGATATCTTGAGAAGTAAGAATCTACATTCATGGGTATTATAATAGTAGCACGTAATTATAACAAAGCTATTTTTTTTTTTTAAAAAAAAAAAATTTGCACAGCTCAAAGGCAGGTGAGAGGAAGAGGTTCTTGACACCATTGATTACCTACTTAGAAGGCGCGAAAACAGGTGCGGATATCGAGGTAGCAGTGAACAGAGTTCTTGCTCCATTAAAAAGGAAAGCTTTTTCATCGACATCATCATCATCATCATCAAGTGGTCAAAAAGTCAACGGATCAGCTTCAGAACCCATGGAAGAATCCACCAGCGATTCTCTCATGGAGGAGAACCTTAAAGACTCTGAAGAAATGTCTAATGGGGAATTATCCTATTTTTTATGCATAACAGATGAAAGGGGTATGAGTTGCAGACCCCTGTTGAAGAATACAGTCATAAAACCTAACAAAATGGTTAAAGTTGCACTGGATTGGACTGAAAAAGAACATGATTTATACGATGCAAATTACCTCAAGGATCTCCCCATGGTGAATAAGCCAGGTGTCAATGTTAAAAAAACCAAACAAGAATCCATCTCTTTGTTTTCTTGTCTGGATGCTTTCTTGAAGGAGGAGCCTCTAGGGCCTGATGATATGTGGTATGAATTATGGATTATATAATTATTTAATTTAAAAAAAAAATTGTTTATGGTTATTGATTGATTCTCTGTCAGGTATTGCCCTGGTTGCAAGGAGCACAGACAAGCAACAAAGAAATTGGATTTATGGAGGCTGCCTGATATCATAGTGTTCCATTTGAAAAGATTTTCATACAGCAGATTCTTGAAGAACAAACTGGACACGTTTGTGAATTTTCCAATTCACAATCTGGATTTAAGCAAGTATGTGAAAAGTGAAGAAACGTCTGCTTCTGGTGGGTCTAATGTTTATGAACTGTATGCTATCAGCAATCATTATGGGGGACTTGGTGGTGGCCATTACTCTGCATATGCTAAGGTAATATAAAAAACTTTTTTTTTTTTTTTTTTTTTTTGATGAAAGTAAGCAAAAGAAAAAAAAAAGTAAAAATTTGTTTTGTTTTGTTTTGTTTTGTAGTTGGTTGAGGAAGATAGATGGTATCACTTTGATGATGCACATGTGACAGCTGTAAGCGAAGGTGACATCAGGACATCAGCAGCTTATTTGTTGTTTTACCAAAGAGTCAAAACTAAAACTAAACCTAACAATGGTAATGGATCAGTATCTGTGGGAGAGTCATCATCCCATTCCCATTCCCATGAGGAGGATTTTTGAAGATTAGACAACAGCTAGTCAGTAATAACAAGGAAGACCAAACTCAAACTCCTACTTCTATCTCAGATTTGGCTGATCAAGGAAAAAATATATTTATTTTGATTTGATTTGATGAGAAGTGGGATATGCATATGCATATGCATTTCGGGGATTTTGGGATTTTATATATATTATATTTTATATATGTTGGAAGGAAGGAAGGAAAGGAGGAAAGAAGGAAGCAGCGGGTGGTGTAGTTATATATATTTGTTTTGACTGCTATTGGAATTGGAAAACATTGTTGGTCGGTATTTAAAGGTTTTTTATTATCCATTTTGCATATACTACTTGATACTTTATTCCAACATCATTTTAACTGACTGGACCCTTTTTCTTTTTCTTTTTCTATGCTACTTTGTTTATGTCAAATTCCAAGTGTGGAAAAAGCTGTTTGCTACTAGCTATGATGCAAAGCCACCTTTAAACTTATCGGTGGAATGAAATAAATATCTTATATTGCTGTTTAATTCGCCCTTAAATTCGAATAGGAAAATTAATATATTAGCCAAAATGAAGAAGTCCGGTAAATCTAATCCGATCAGCAAGATACTTCATTAAACATGATCAGAATGAGACTTGGTAATGGTGTTACTATTGATTCCCTTTTCATTCTAGATCTAGTCTTACTTTTTGAGCATCATCGTTGGTCCATCTGCTTGGATCCTTTAAATTTGAACACGAGTGTATTTCTATATGTTATTCTTCAGAGCGTCTACAAACTATTGTAGTCAACTGAGGGAATATAGACAGTCATTATGTTTTTATACAACTAGAAAATTATCAATAGAGAAATTAAATTGATTCCTACTTTTTATACCTACAAATATGCCTACTCAATAAAATTATAACAAGTGTCATCTTTTCATATTTTTTAAACTAAATCATTAAGACTATTAAGACTATATTTAGGGGGTTTGCCATACTATCATTGCCAAAAACGTTGCAGGAAGTAACTGCAAGATCTGATATGTGGCATCAAATCAAGTGCACTGCTACCAAATGTTACTTATATATAACTCAAAAAGTAATTAATAAATATCAAGGTCGTATGCGAATGTCAGCTTGTTTGTGTTCATTGTTTAAGTCAACCAAACAACCGAATAGGTTTTCTTGCTTATGTTCATTCATTTAACATTTAACAAATTATCTTGTTTGTTTTTGGTTATTGTATATAATATTAGAATATTATAAAGAAAAGAGAGTGCAAGTGGAGTTTCTTGGAGTGGTTTTGGCTTTACCACTTTTGGATTTCGTAAAAAGTATCAAAAGGATACAATTAAGTATGATATCAGTAAATAAATATAAATGAAAGAAAGACACTATTGTTCCCAGCTTTCAAACCCTATTAATAATATGATCCTCTATATTTAGAGGGGGAATGTGAAAACAATTCTATCAAGTCTAAAACTTTTTATGTTAAAAATTTATATGCAAACAAATCCTTAGCTTTTACATAAATAAGTTGATACCAGCTAGCTGTGTAGTCTAACCAAGTTTTTTATAATGAAATGCTAATTCCTATCTAAGTCATAATCTATAATAAAGATCAATATGAATGTAGGATAAGTTCCTGGACTCTATCATTTGACTAATGTTGTTAGCTTGATGCTAAGCAAACATGGGTTGCAAATGAATACACCCCAACCTTAATTTTTTAAGCAGTTAAAAGTTTCTTGGGTCATGCTATGCAAACACATATGTAGGAAAAATAATATTAGATTGCTTTCCCTACAACTTTAGTGCCTTTTGTGCTCCCCAATGAAATTACTAGGTATTACCGTATTAGTGATCATGGAAGAATCATTTCAATACACATGTTACCCTTTGCCTGATAGATGTTGGACCACTTACCAACGAGCAAGATTTGTCCAAGTGTTCATTATTAGTTGCAATGATTAGACGTTTCACCAAATTATTATATGTTTATAGCAATATGTGCATGTTTTGGCATTATTGCTAGATACATCTTTTCGAAGCATCAATAACTACTAATCTAACTTAGACACGTGATACATTAGTTTCTATTCTTCACAACTTTGACAGTTGTTTGAACACCTCCAAATCCCCTGTGTTTGGTTGTGCATTTAGGATTCATATGCCTATCTTCTGGTCGCTTAAGTATCATCATGAAGTTTGGCCTTCAAGTCTTTTATATCAGCCGATCATGTCCGTGAGGGAACATGTGTTTTATCCTTGAACAATTACTTAAATCAGTCGATGATAATCAATAGACTTGGTAAATTAATGAAGAATGCTACATGCATTTATTAGTCAGCAAATTGTTGGTAACTTTAGTGTCATTGGGTTCATTTTAGTATAATAGAATTTACATATTACCAATGGATGTCAAAAACTGATTTTAGACAAGTTAGGTGGTGCGGAGTGCACACTTGAATAAAACGTGTTTGATATCAGTTCGGCCAAATGGCAGGGGTCAAGGGGCTGCGCCCCCTTGCGGGGTCTTAGGAGCATCGCCCCTGGCGAGGTCCTGCTCTCATCGATTTATTTCTTAAGGAAAACGTTATGGAAAATCTTATTTTAAGAATATATTTCCATAATTATACTTGAAAACGTCATACCTTATTTATATGATAAAATCAACATTTAATGTTGAGTGATACTTATCTTTAGTAATAAGAGGAATTCGAATCCTATATAAACTAGTTCATGGCCTCGTATTGGGGCCTTGATTGGAATCTGTTTCATGAAGGAGTATCCCCATAATATGGATTTTGTGTAACCCAAATGTATGGTCGAAATATCAGATTTAGAAAGTGTTCAGACGATCATTCAAGAAGATTCAACCTCTCATCAACTTCAAAAACCCTTTTTACTAGTACAAAAAAGACCTACGGTCACACTTTCCGAAAAACGGTCTATGACACTTTTTATTAAAAGTGTGGCCAAAGGTCACTAAAAAATTTAGAGACTGTTTTTGGATACATTTAAATTAGTTTGTGTGTGTAACGCCCGCAGATCCGGGCTAGTCAATTTAGAGGCAATAAGGGTCGAAAATGACTTTTCGATAAAAGATTATTTAGAATAAATAATCTTAACCAAGTTGTAGAATATGTCACAAGGTTTCCGTACATATAAAGAATACCGAAATCCGAGGTATAACGAAGAAGTTATGGCCCGTCGAAGTTTCGTGACGGAACCGGCACGACACCGGGAAGCGTAAATAGTGAATTTACTATAGAGCGAGATTTAGCCTTATCGATCTAAACGAAAGTCGTAGAATATGTTAAACTAAGAACATCGATAAAAAGAACGCCCAAATCTGACTTCGTATGAAGAAGTTATGATTTTTCGAAGTTTCGGACTAGCAGTGTACAACCCGAAATTCGAATATTAGATCGAGCGGGTTTTAGCCGACACGACCTGAATGAGAATCGAAGATCTTGTTGAGAGTAGCGTAACGAGAAAAAGATGGGCAAAAACGGATGTCGGATGAAGAAGTTATGAGGATTTAACGGACCAATCGTGTCCTGGCCCGTTAATAATATAAAATTTAAAATCGAGCCAAAATTAGCCGACGAAGTCTAAACGAAAGTTGTAGAGTAGGTTCCCACCTTCGCATGGATATAAAGAACGTCGAAAACGGAGCTCGTATGCGAAAGTTACGAATTTTTCAAGTTGAAGCATGAAAATGCGAAACCTGTTGCGAAGTCGATGACGTGGCACAATCCTAGCCGTCGCTTGCTGATCACGGCTCGCTCCGGATGAAGGACGCGTCGCTTCGCCCTACGCCCCGCGTCCGAGTTCGGTACGCCCAACGTACCCTTCGGCCTTATCCTTCCGACAATTGCGAGACAGCTGGCTTCGGCTGGCATCCATACCCGAGGTGTACGCCCAGCGTACCCTCGGTACGCCCCGCGTAAGGTCCGAACTTCGGCCTATAAAAGCCAGCGAAGGCTGCCGACTTTCTTGCACATTTTTCACTTCTCTCTCTAGTTTCTTTCTCTCTCTAAGGTTCCAAACCCTCCCTAAAGTCTAGGTGAACCCCTAGCACCCTAAGGAAGCCCCGAGGCTCCTGGAGTCCCGAGAAAAAGGAGTTTTTCGGTTTCGAAACGCTGCTCCAATTAAGTTCCGGTTTTCGATAAAATTCGTTGTTTTATCGAAGGAATATCATTTTGAGAGTATCGAAGCGCTGTCCGAGTGCTGAGTCAACACCTACTCAAGTGAGTGCATGGTCCCTTTCATCTTACACATAGATATGAAGTATTTTAATATAAATTACGTGCTATGTGTACATATTGTCTGAATACTTGTTGTCTATGCTGGATGAATGATTTATACATGTTTTAAATGATTTAAACTGTATATTTATTTTATATCTACAAATATGTTGGGATAAAACATGGGTAGATGAAATAGTTGGTGAGTGATGAAATAAAATAATGAGAGATAGGAGATGATAGGAAGGTGATGATAGATAGGTGATCATGAATCGGTGATGTAGGATACTACAACCTTGTCCGACAATTTGGAGATGTAGACATCTACCAGAGTATAGATGGCGACCGCAAACTATTATAGACAACCCCGTGGAAACACCAGCAGGCTAGTAACCTGTAGGTGATGAAATACGAGTTCAGGCGATGTTGTAACTACGTATTCATGCGATGATAGTCTAACCCGTATTATGAATTACGAGTCCAGGCGATGTTGTGGCTACATATTCATGAGATGATAGACTAACCCTTATCATGATTTACAAGTCCATGTGATGTTTTGGCTGTGTAATCATGCGATGATACCCTAAATCTTGCTAGACACATATTGAGGGAGTAATCCCCGGAATAGTATTGTCTATGCATGTAGGCGGTGATCCTTAGGTAAGGTTCGTAGGAACAATTATATAAGGAAATACGATGTAAGGAGATGAGAAGTAAATATGATATAGGAGATGACCCTTGAGATAATATCTTTAGGGAAGACTAAAAGAAGATAATGGGGAT